ATAAGTTCAATTCTTGATGCAATCTCAACTCCACCCTCTGGTTTTCTGTTTTGGCTGAGAAACTTTAGAAAATATAACTGTAGCTTTTCAAACACTACAGAAAACATATCCACTACATCTTAATTTTGATCCATCCTCTAAAGTGGGATCTTTTATAAATGATAAAGTCCCTATTTGAATTACAGGCCTCTGACAGCTAGACTCAGAATACCATTAACAGAATTTAAAGAAAGATATGTATGTACATATTGTAATAATTCCCTGTGTCAAATTTATTGAATAAAGCAAAGAGAAAGCAGATTCCTTAACAAATAAAAATCTAATTGCCACACATGAAAGGGAATTCGTATCCTTTAATAAAATTGAGTATGACAGAGTTTAGTGAAGCAAAATTCTTCAAAGTAATGGCAGTATAAATATTGAATAAAATCAGAACAGTCTGCTGTGCCTAAAATGAGATACATGCTCAGCAGGTTATGTTTGAAAAAAATATGCAATAAAAGCACCTTTCAAAAGATATCATCTTTTACTTAGGAACCCAGAAATAAAAGATTTGAAGAGAAATTATATAATAGGTGTGTCAACAATAATGGATTCAACAAACAATCCAATCAATAGCATTGCTTTTAGGCACCTTGCAATAATTCTGCAGGATCCAATCTGGGTTGGTCACCAGGACCAGAGATTTTGTCTTCCAAGTCCGAAAGCTTGGAAGACAAAAACCTCTGGTCCCGGTGACCGACCCAGATTGGATCCTATTTCAACATCCATTTCACTCCTCACAGAGAAATTGCTTTCTTGGCTGTAGTGAGGGCATGTGTTCTTGGTACGTGGTGAAAGGTCACAGACTTCTCCACTGGTAGCATGCTGCACCTATGGGCAAAGCCATATCCCCCACACTCAGGAAAGAAATGTGCTAAATCCAATTCTACAGGACTCTTAGCCTCCAAAAATTAAGTTGAATTTCCAAATGGAACTCCTGCCTTCCAGAAAATCATCATAGCAAGTAGGAAATGAACTCCAAAGAAACAGCAGTTGGTTTGACCCTATTTTCCAGGAGAGAATTCCAGTAGAATTGAAATAAATCAGGACCTTTTATGGTCTATTTTTTGGTCATTATTTTTTATATTAGTATATATCTTACAGTGTCTTTCTGTACAATTTTTACAGAATATTAGATGATGAGGATGAAGATGATGACTGAATAAGGCAATAGTAGGAACAATAATATTTGGCTTTGCAATCGAGTGAGGCTTGGCAGAAAATGTTCCTCTTGGGAGTATGACAAGGGTAACTTGATAAATGAAATGAATTTGAACCATTTAGGATGATATAAACTGAAAATAAAAACTACATGAGGATTCACTGTAGTGTCTCTTTTTTTTTTTTTCAAAGAAATTTTATTATTTTCCATCATAAAAAGACAATCATAAGCATAATAAACACAGTAACAAGTAAAAAACCCCCACCCACCCCACCCCCGGACTTCCCAAACCTAATCCCAGGATAATATTCATATATAAGTAAACAAATACTAATATCTCTAACTCCACAAAATATCTTAATCTACATAAAAAGATAGAAAGAATAAACAAAATAAAAAGAATCTAAAAACCTAAGTTGTATTCTACCACTCTATGCTTCTTTTGAATATAAACAATCCATCTTCTCCATATTGATAAAAATTGTTCATTTGAATGATTCTTCAGATAAGCCGAAATCTTTGCCATTTCAGCAAGATACGAAACTTTCAATCTCCAGTCTTCCATAGTAGGCAGAATTGGGCTCTTCCAGTTTTGGGCTATCAGCAAACGAGCTGCAGTTATACAATAAAGCATCAAATTTATTTCTTTTGCATCTAAATCTTGCACGATACCTAAGAGAAACAGCTGTGGGAGAAAAATAATCCTTTTTTTAAAAATTTGCTGTAAGTTCCACCACAATTGTATCCAAAAGGCCTTAATAACCTTACAAGTCCACCACATATGAAAAAAAGTTGCATCTGGATGTCCACACCTCCAACACTTGGATTCATAATTCACATAAATATGAGACATAGTTGAAGGATCCAAGTGCCATCTATAAAACATTTTATAAAAATTCTCACGTAAATTTTGAGCTTGTGTGAACTTCATATTTCTCACCCAGATTAACTCCCAAGTATCCATAGGTATTGTTTCTCCTATATTTTGAGCCCATTTAATCATACAATCTTTAACTAATTCAGTTTCTGAGTCCAATTCTAATAAAGCATTATATATCCTTTTAATATGTCCTTTAGCACCATCTCTTACTTGCTTCAAAAAATTCCCATCTTCCATAACAAAAATAGTCCTTTTATCAGTTCGCCATCTATCTTGAATTTGTCTATACAGAAGCCAAGAAAAATTTGGATTATTTTGCTTCAAGACTTCTATTGATTTTAGGCACCAGTTACCACCACCACTCTGGTATAACAAATTTGCCTGCAACAAAACAAAAATTTTTCCCAGAACTTTGACTGATCATAGTATGGTATGGATAGAGATTGGCCAACAAAAAAAAAGGAAATCTTGGAGAATAAATGAAAATTTGTTCAATTATGAGGATAAGGTCAAAGTTCTGAAGGAACATATGGAAGAGTTCTTTCAACTTAACTTGAATAAAGGTACTCCTATACAT